TCTCTCTCTCTCTCTCTCTCTCTCTCTCTCTCTCTCTCTCTCTCTCTCTCATCTATTCCTGTTATCCAAGGAAGGAAGAAAGTGCCATGGGTTGTCAAACTGTGAGCAGTAGGCAGTGCCAGGAGGGAGAGGACTTGCAGACAGGGCTGATTAGCAAGTGCACTCCAGGAAGCTGGACTTCATCCCACCCAAGTTAAGCCCGATTTGCCTCCATACCAAGCCTGAACTTTCTCTATTATAGGAAGCTGGAGACAACTTGTTTGTTGAGCAACAATATAAATTCATGGCCATTACCCCCATGTGTGGCCTTGGGGCTGCCTGGCAATTAAGTGTACTTTACTTCCTAAATGTCTCCTTTGCCCTCCCTTTCCTCAGTCTCCAGCCTCACTTTCCTCTGATGACCTCACTTCCTGTTTCATCCACACAATCCAAGCAGAAGAAAAGAGCCACCAAATCCTACCGGTGTATTTAGCTGGGTGCACATGCATGGTCTCTTGTCCTGTGATCGCGCTCTTACCCAATACTCACACCTCCTCTCCTTCGGCCCCTCTTCCCTACTCAAGAACACCCAGGCCCCCAACCAGCAAGTCCCTCGTCTCCCTTTCAATCCTCAACTTTTCCCTTTCTGTGAGATCGTTCCATGAAACGTACTGCATCATCTCCAATCTTAAAACAAGCAAAACACAAACCTCCTCTGGAGTTTGTATCCCCAGCCAGGTTTAGGTGCCACCTTTCTTCTGGGCCTAAAGAGTTATCTGTCCTCACACTCCAATTCCTCCACTCCAGTCCTCTCCTGGGTCCTCTCCTATTACAGTCCCCATGAGCTGTTATACTGAAACAGCTCCTGTCAAGGACACCAATTGGTTTCACGGTGTTAGATGTCAGCGTCCATTGCCACTCCTTAGCGTCTTTGGTCCATCAACATGTGTTACACTTGATGTTGCCTTCGTCCTTAAAGCTTTCTTTCTTTGACTTCTATGCCATCATACACTATCTTAGTCACTTTCTGCTCTGTGAGACACAATACCTGACACCAACAATTTTTTTTTTTTTAATTTGATACAGGGTCTCACTGTGCAGCTCAGACTTGTAGTGATCCTCCTGTTTTCAGCCTTGCCAGCACTGGGATTACAGGTGTCTACCACCACGCCCGGATGCAGTGGGTGGCTCAGTGCACCTGGGAGCAGGACCAGTGTGGCATGTGGTGCCGGGGATCTAACCCTGGTCTCTGCACTTGCCTAAGCATGTGCTTAGTCCACTGAGCTACCTCACCGGCCCTGCGACACCAACAATTTAAAGGAGAAAAGGTCATTTGGGCTCATAACTTGCAAAGGTTTCATTCTGTGAGCAGCTGGCCCCAAGGTAGGGTGCCATGGCAGATGGGTAATAGTCTGTGGCCTGGCAGAAGGGCAACAGTCCGTGGCATGGTGGCAGGCAGTAGAAAGCAGTTGGGGCAGGCGATAGACCCTGCCAGCCGTGCCCTAGTGACCCTCCTCCCAGCAGGCTTCACCCGCAACATCGCATTTAGCTGTAAACACACTGGCAGACTCATCCACTCAGGAGTAGCACACCCATGATCTGGTCACTCCCATGAGTGTATGAGGCCTTGGGGGGGCATCCAGATATACACCTGGGTGCATATGCTCCTATTTTTTCCTTTCACAGAATGTTCCTTCTCAGTCTTTCTTACTGGCTCATCTTCATCATCATAACAAAAGGCATCCATGTTTAATGTCCTCAATTTTAGACTGAAGTATGTGCTTCTCACAGCAGCTGTGCTGTACCGATGAAGCCTGGCTTAGCTGTAAATTAATCAGCTGTTGTTGTCAGAGCGTAGCCCAGCTGGCTGCAGGAGGACTCTCGGAGACTTTCTGGTGAGAAGGAAAGCCACCATGGGCCAACTGGGCCTCGCCTCCACACAGGTATCAGCCAGTAACCAGCTCTCCTCTGTCCTCTGTCATAGCCTGTTCCTGTCATCCCATCGGATCAGCTGTCCTTCCTTTCAGCTCCATGATCTTCTGTGATCCCAGCAATGGTGACTGCCCCTGCAAGCCTGGGGTGGCAGGGCCACACTGTGACAGGTGTATGGTGGGCTACTGGGGCTTTGGAGAGTACGGCTGCAGGCCTTGCGACTGCGCAGGAAGCTGCGACCCTCTCACGGGAGACTGCATCAGCAGGTGAGCCGGCGGGCCCTTCTGCCCATCTGCGTGTACTTCAGAGGCTAGAGATCTAGCGTGAGTAGGGAAATCCTGCGTGGCATTAGTGGAGCAAAAAGATGCCTGCACATCCTTTGCAGGAATTTTGTCAAGTTGTAATCAAGTAACTTTTGGAGGCTTTTGGAGATCATCTGGCTTGTTTTGCACAATGAACAATTCTTCAAAATAATTTTCTTAGCACACTACTGGTTTCTGGAAAGTGGAAGGATGGAGAAGTAGAGGATAAGGTTTGAATCTCTGTGAAAATCTTGATTTCTACTCAAGTTCTAAAGATCCTGAGTAAGTGCTTTGGTGTCGTATTTTCTCAGCAATGCAGACCTAGACTGGCATTATGAAATTCTGGACTTCCACCCTGTGCTCAACAAGAGTGACTCCGCGTGGGCCTGGGAGGACGAGCAAGGGTTTTCTGCACTTCGACACTCAGGTGAGATGAGATCACTGGGATCGAATTTCCAGGTCTGCTCAGTGAGGGTGACAGGGCCGGGACAGCATTTGGGTCCTGTGAGGGAAACCTTAATAAAGTAATGGCCTACACGTGGAGAGAAAACATTCTCTTAGGCTCTTACAGAGAACAAATTGGTCAAGCAATGGCCATGACTCATCCACATGACTGACACTCACAAAGGATCTGCAACCTGCATTACAGGGTTACAGGATAAATCTTGAGGGAACTTGACTGACTTTATCAGATACAAAAGTTAGATTTCTTGTTATATAGGTCTTGCTTTATCTTGGTCTGAACCATCCAGCAGAAAAGTATAAAAACGAGGTATATAAAGTAAAGCCTTATTAATATGTTGAGCTGTGAAAGGCTCAAGTCAACAACTTCTGTGGATAACCCACTACTATTGTGGACTGCTGGACTGTGTTGGATTGTTTTGCTGAATTGACGCACCTATAGTATTTAGAAGCCAATGGAATACCCATTTCTGACAGGACTA